TACCACGGGGGGACTGTGAGCACCAAGGGCCGATGGCAAAGGGCAGACCAACGAGTTTCTGAAGTATAAATCAAGAGGCAGCGCCCAACCGTTCATTCATTCCTGCGTGAGCCATGCGGAAGCGCTGCCACAGCGACTTGTGCAAGGAGGTCTGCAGATGAGCCTGGAGGACGCAGTGGGCAAGAGAGAGGGAGTTAGCATAGCGATAGGTTAGATGCAGCGATAGCTGCCATAGCTGTAGTTAGTAGTGAGTGTGTGTGTGTGTTCGAGTGTTAGAGTGATGCTTGTGGGATATCCAGGGTGATCCAGTGTATGTGGACAGTGAGATGTTTGGGCGCTGAAGTCGCCATAGCCAATCGAGAGTGAACTCGTATCTGAAAGCCATATCCCTGAGTTTTGAGTGCGCGCATGTCGCCAGTATGCTGCGTTGCTGTTTACATGCATGAAAAGTGTGTTTGAGAACGAGTCTGATTGCAGACTGAATATTCTGGTATAAAATTTGGAATCTTTTATGTTGCTTCATACTTAAACTTATTAGTCTCATCTTTATTTGCTGTAGTGCTCTATTTAGGAGGTTGGAATTTCCCTATTCCTACTACGCTAATATCCTTTATTTCTATGTATAAAATTAGTTTACCATTGGCTTCAAGTAATTAATATATATATATTACAAAAAAAGAAAAAAATAAATAAATGATAGCGCAAACGCCTTTCGGTGAAGGGTCATCTCCAAATGCCTCTTTATTTTCAAGACAAGCGGGGGGAAACTTGCAAAATAGCCCTACACTCATCATTACCCACATAACTTCATCCAGTTCCGTCATCACCCATCGATCCCAAGCTCTCATTCGTCATCACCCGCGTAATCTCACCATAGCCTACAAACTCTCACCATCGTCACTGTCGCACACACATGTTCTTTTTCTTTTTCTTTTTTTCTTTTTTCTTTTCTTTTTACTGGGGCTACATTGACAAGTAATTTATCTACCTGGTTATGTGATGCCCCTTGAAAAGTGTTATAAAAACCCTCCTCACTAAGTGCATATACTCGCACTAGCACATTCCAGAAAATGCATCTGACTGCAATTACGGCCAGACCTGGATGAATCTGACTGCAATCACGTCCAGAGCTTTGTAGAAAAAGTCCCTGTTCGAGTTGCGGCCGGTCCTAAGTGCAGTTCCAGCATACCCTCTAACGAAGATGGCACACCAGGAGGACAATTTGGTGTTGATTGGACATCCATTAGCATCGGAATATCCCTGTCTAAGGTAGGCGGGGGCCATGCGGATTATAGGAAAAAGAAAAGACCAAAGCGCTAGGCTACCAGCCGGGCCGCCCGGGTCACCCTATTTTCCCAGACGGCCTGGCCGTGCAAGGACCGAGAAGGTCATGGAAAAAAAAAAAGAAATCAAAAAAATCCTGTGTACGGATCCGGGCCGCCCGGCCGACCAGCGCCTTCCCGGGGGAGGTCCCGGGCGGCCCGGTTTGGGGCCGGGCCCCCCCAGCACACCTTGCTGGTGGGGGGTTTCCGACCCCGAATCGGCCAGATTATGTCTCCCCAGGGCCTACCGGGTCCGACCATGCCCAGAAAACGGTGCGTCGGGCCCGTGAGGCCTGTTTTTTTTTTTGAATTTGTGACGGCCCTCCGGCCGTCGATCATCCATGATCGACGGCCAGAGGGCCGTTTGTTTTTTGGAGGGAAAACCCAGGCCCCGTTTGAACAACGACTGGCTTGGGCGGCCTGCATTGGCTGTCGAAACGGGGCCTCCCTCCAGCCGCCTCCGTTCGTCCTCAACTCGCCCTCGCCCCTCGCGCTGCCCATTGTCGCCATCGCCTGGGAGCTGCGCTCGCCCGTCGTCGTGGAGTCGCCCGTCGCCAGCGTCGTGGAGTCGGCCGTCGCTCGTCCCCCTCTCATCTTCTTCTTCTTCTTCTTCTTCTTCTTCTTCT